GATTGTTTCTTGTTGATTGATATGGGTTTGATTACTTACATTTAATATCCTTTGTGTTTTCAATAGATGTATAAATGAATATTTTCTAGAGTTTTGATCTAATTTAAACATAATGGCTGTTTCTTTAAGTTTGATGTGAGATTGATAATTTGCATAAAGTTTATCTAATCCTTCATTTGTTGCCTTAATATATCTCATATTAATCATAGTATAAGATTATGAAACACAATATACAAACAACACTAGCGGCAACAAGCGAGATGTTTTCTGGTGTAGAGATAATAAAAGCACTAAAATGTTTTTCCACAAGTGCTTTGATAGATGGAAACAATGAATCAACATCAGGCTTGCATAGTCTAGTATGAAACAATGGAATTTATTTAATATAATGATCTATGTAATTGACATAATAATGTAAACCATCCATAGAAGTAATATATATATATATATATCTGTTGGACCCCAAACATTTGCGTAAAGCAATTCCCAAGACTTTAAACTACATTAAGCAAATGTGACTTTCGTGACAATGCTAAGAGTCACATATTAACATTTTATTTAAAGATTCAAAAGAAAAACCAAATGATTTGATCATATAAGTAAAGATATTTTAGGTTGGATGCCATATGTCAATTAACGTTTTCTGACATTGAAAAATGCGATTTGCAAATGTTGGCGTATAAAAATTATCTTTACTCATAATTTTGTTATAGTGAACGCCAGTTGAATTTTTTTATTCATATGGAAGCCGTAATAGCTTAAGGACATGATTGAAAATTGAAATATTTTAGATTATTTTATTTTTCAATTTTTTTATTTTTTAGTTTTTATCAACGTTATATTTTTTTTTCAATTTTTAATTTTTTTGGTGCTTAATTATTCAATTTTCAATTTTTGTAGGCACATCTTGTCTTTTCATGCGGATAAAAAAAATTCCAACCAATGAGAATTATAATGGAAATTAATTTTTGGTTTGAAATAAAGATTTATTTAGATAAAAGATGATGATTAAGAATTTATTTATATGTAGAAAAAGTGTAAAAAAATTTTTTAAGAAAGTGATAGTTCAAAACTTTTTTGTTATTTTAGCCTATTTTCAAAATTTATAAAATAACATTGATAATACCATATGATATATATTATTAAATTATATGACAATGTTATGTGATATATAATAAATTATATAACAATATCATTTCAACATATCGTTAATCTTTAAAAATTTAGTGACAAAAAAATAATTTCATAAATGTTAATAATTAAATAGTAACTTTTATAATTGGATGATAAAAAATGCTTAAAATTAGATGACTAAGCATTAAATATTTACCCATATATATAAGCATAAGAGTTTATGAAAAGTTTTTATTGTCATAACAATTTTGTATCCATCCGACAAATTTGGAAACGAAAATAAAAAAATAAAAAATGGAGTCGTCATTAATCTTTTTTGGCTAGATGCGATTAGCCACCTATTAAAATTTATCTTTCTAATAAAATTTTAAAATTAATTAAAATTTATTAAAATGATAATTTCATGGTCTACGAAACAGTCTGGATTCGAGAGTCGGTTACGCGTGGGGAAGCATTAGCACCCCCACGATGCCCATTTAAAAACAGTACCACTTAACTACGTGTTATCCTTTGATTTTGATTAAAAATAGTATCATTCTCGATGTTTGGAAAAATAATTTTCTTGATTTTTTTTTTGGAAATTGGTTTGTTTGGTTTTTTTTAATTATTATTCAAATTTTATTCGAGAAAAATAAATTAGAACCTTTTTTATTAAAATAATTCTTAAAATACTCTAGTACGTTGGTAATATTAGAAAAACTCTTTCTCACCTAGAAATTTCTTAGGTATCGCTTCTAGGAATACCTAAGAATCTCATCCTCAGATGTCCGAATTTACTTTTCGTAAAAATTATATCTTGCATGCAATGCAAATAATAACATGATGCACATATTTTATTTTTTTATTTTTAGAAAATTTATTAATTTTTATTATTATTCTTATTTAAAAGAAATGAAGAACAGAAGAATTTTTATTATATTGAAATTTTCTATAAATATTCCAATACACTGGTGATATTTAAGAAAAAAATCTTTTCACCTAAGGATTTCTTAAAGCATCTCTACTCGAAATACTTTTGGAATCCTATCATCAGACAAAATTTTTTTTTCTCATTTTTTAGTACCTATTTTTAATTTATTAGTTAATTTTATTATTATTATTTTATAAGAAAAAAAAGAAAAATTTTATTATATTAAAATTTTTTTTTATAAATACTCCAATACACTAATAATATTTTTAAAAAATCTTTTCACCTAGAGATTTCATAGGTATCACTACTCGGAGTACCTTTGAATCTCATCGTCGGACAAAAATTTTCTTTTCTTGCATTTTTATTAATTTTTGTATTATCATTAAGTTTATTTTTTATTATTTTTAAAGTTTATTTTAAAAATTAATAGAATTATATAAAAAAAATTTAATCACATATTTCATTATTTAATCTAACAAATATAAATATTTTAATATGCATAAATATTAATAAAATAATATATATATAAATTCAAAAAAAATATTTACCTAAACCGGATCGATCAACGATCCAGTCTGACGGTTCGGTCTAACGTCAGCGGTTCGATCACGTTCAGCGATTCAGTTTCGGTCCGAGTCGGGTTTAATGATTCGGTTTCGGTTCATTCAGACCAGTCAAAGGCTGATGAAGGAAGCTGGTCGCGGGTCGGGTGCACGGACCCAGGTCGGATAACGGGTTGACACGCAAATCTTAGGGTTCAAAATGACGTCATTTTGGGTGTTTATTGAAACAGCGTCATTTTGGCTATTGACAGCTTATATAAAAGCCAAAAAAAAAAATTTCAATCATTTCGTCGCTCTAAAAAAAATGCTTTCTTTCCCCTTTTTTTTCTTAGGTCGACCTGGGGTCAGTGGCCATCAGTTGTGATGACCGCCATGATCCTCGTCGGCGATGAGCTTCGATCGCCGTCATCGGTGTTGAAAATTTTCAAAAAACACCCACAAACTCTTCTTAAACCGCTGAACACAGATCCGACCTTCTTTTCACCAAAAGGAATCTCCAATTCTCTATATCTGCTCTTGAAGTTTCGGTGAAACTATTTTTTTAGGTATTCTGACTTTTTATTTTTTGGAAATTAACTTCTTTTTTTTTTTGCAGGGGCTCTCGACGCTGGGTTCCTCCTTGTGATGAGGACTGAGCTTTTGTTTTTTTTTTTGGAGAATGTGTTTTTTTTCGTAGGGTTCCCTCCTTTGTTTTCTTTTTTGGGTTTAGCTAGGAGCTTTATTTATAGAGCTCCGGCCGTACGTGGCACAAGGCTCGGCATGGGATACAAGCACGAGATTCATGTCCTTTTTATTGTTTTTGTCTAATCTGACAGTAGTAGGGCTAGAAACCAACGAGATTGGTGATCAAAGTATAAGTGGTAGGATAAGGTATGGTGAGTAGGGCGTGGTGGCAGTAGTGCAGAGGAAGAAACCACTGTCATCCCTCTCTTTTTTTTGTTTTATTTTATATATATATATATTTTGTATTTTTGTTTAATTTTTATTATTATATTTAATAATATTATTATTATTTTATTTATTATTTTTTTATGATCAGACAAATTTGATGTCCATACTTATATATAACTATATATATATATAAACTAATATTTATATGTCTATGCTACACTCTATATTAGTTTATTTGAGAAACAAAATAGAAAATAAAAAAGCGAAGCATGGCATGGACATGAAGCAACACCTATATGAAAAGAGTGCGAATGACCAGACGCCTAATGAACGTGACATGTTACACATTTATCGCCGCTTCTTTGGCAAAAGCATCTGCCTGTTGACAGGTATACAAAGAGTCCTTTTTAATTTTAGGTGAAACATTGACTCATATATGCCTTTCTTTCTTGCCAAGCCTCCTTTTTTAATGTTTGTTTGATATTTTCTTTTTCGCCCCCTCGTAATTATTGTGCCAAAATTTAGTAAGTCTTACTTATGTAATGATAAAAAAAAATGACTATTCTCCCTCTCAAATTATTAGTTTCCATTAATTTTTATGAAATTTAAATAAAAAATTGATTTTGGTATATATAATTTTTAATTTTTTATACTTAATATTTCATAATTTTTAACGCTAAAAAGTGAAATATATAAACAAATACTTTTAGAATATAAAATATAAGATTTAAATGTTAAAAGACAATTTTAAAATATAAAAAGAAAATGAAATTGAGAGAATAGTATGAACTTGAAAATACTCGTGAGTTGTGATAAAGAGACAGAAAAACTCGCGACTGGTGACCAATAAACAAGAAAATGAGTGCAGAATTTCATTTTATATTCCTGCAGTCAATGGATTTGTGTCGTCTCTATTTTTAATATTAAATTAAGAATTTTGTCAATGATCAAATAAAAAATCACATCGACATAAATAAATTTTATATAATTATTCTTTTATTATTAAAATTTTATTATTTTTATTTTTTATCAAATAATATTTTTCTTATTTACATCTCTAATCTGACATTGTTTAGATCATAAATTGTTTTTATACTTATTTATCTTTTAATCTGATCATCAATAAAATTATCCATTAAATATTAAAAAAAGTCAGATCCGCAATAAATAAATTAGTCATGCTAATATTTTTAGTAATCAAAATATTCTTTTTAAATTTAATAAGATGCGTTCAAAATATTCGTTGGTTTTATGTGGGAAGAAAATATAGAGAAAGAATATTTTGGTGAATATGCTGGCTAGGCTAGACTAGACTGGAATCAACCAAAGAAAGGAATTGCTTTTTTGGGTGAATAAAAAAAATAAAGGAATTAAAATATAGTACATACTTTTGGCTGAAAATTCATCAAGCTAGATCATTATGCAGTGTAAAGTGTAGAGAAAATATATATGCATAGATTCATCTTATATTACAATTTTCAACCCCACTTTCGAGTCTTACTTTAATTTTTTTCTTTTTCTTTTTCTTTTGGCCACACAATCCACTTTACAGAGGCCTTAACCTTACTTGCACTTTACTCCTCCCATCTCATTATATCAACATGCATCCTAGTGATTTGATTTCACCCAGATATTATCCTTGGTATATCAATCGATATGTGCTCAAAATAAATCTTCTTCAAAGGATCAATCTAGAGGATGAATGAATGAGCTTCAAATATGAATATAATTGGTATGGACTATGAACTTCAAATCACACATTGCATCCGCTGCATGACTCAACCTTTTGACATATATATCTTCTTCTATTCCTCTTTTCTGATATAGGTTATGGATATGCTTGCTTTAGTGGTATTTTTATTTATTTATTTATTTATTTTTGCATGGATGTAGAAATATTTTGCATTAATTTTAAACCTAATTATTAAAAGATTTAAACTAGTCTTGGTCAAACTGGGTATGTATTCTGATTCAATTATTTATATTTCTTGCTCCTGGTTTTGGCAAATGGTTTTTCGTTTCTAATGTGTGTATGTTGAATTATTAGTATATATTAATATTAATAATATTATTTTAAAATGTTTTATAATCATGTCTGCTACCAGTGTTCTCATGAATGAGAATATTAATTACAATATATCTTACTAAATATACTTATAAAGTTTAGGGAATATATTGTACAGGAATTTTAATCTTAAAGAAAGGAAAATTATTATTATTATTATTATAAGTAATAATAATATGCAGTGCAAGATTAGTTGGTAAAGTAATAGAATATGTTCATTTCCGATTGATGCAGATGTATATTGATTCTTTTCTCATCAGCAGCAGTAGCAGCTTGTAGCTTGTTTGGAATTGTCTGCCTCTTCTTTTCTGGTTTGTATCTCTATATATTTAGCCTTTTAACTGTATTAATTTTATGTTTTTCTATTTCTCAATAACTATATATATATATTGAAACCAAGTCAAGGAAAGACGGAAATTATTAATTTTTTTGGGTTAAATTTCATGTGCTCCTTAATATGTAAAATTTATCCTATATTTTAATAAAGTAAACCGCTCATACACTTCATATGGTATTCGCGTTTTTCACATTCAATCTCTAAGTAAATTTTCTATCATATATAATCTGGAATTTAGCTACCATTATTAAAAGAGCTTTTGATATTAATAAATAGCATGTTTGGCACATTTTATCGTTAACAGACTTATGTTAGAATCATGACAATTCTAATTTCAATTTTTAGGTTAAAATACAATTAAACAATTAAGTAAGTGGCAACATAATTAAATAATTAATAAATTATATAGGAGACATAATTTTAAAGTAATTCAGTCCAAACAAAATAGTATTCATGGACCCTCTCATTTTTTTCTATTCTTATAAAGTATTTTTAACCAAAATAAAAACATAACTATATAGTTTACCATATTTATGTTGACTCTTTCATTCTCCTTTGGTTCACTCAAATATATATACTCATAAAAATATTTTTTAATCCAATAAGATCTCTATCTAATAAAATCCTATAAATTCTTTACATCTTTTTTATTTACCCAACCCTATAGAAATTTCACAATTTATAAGCATATAAACTCGTTTATAAAGAATATTTTTCCTCTTAGAATTATTTTTTTAAATCTTCTTATCTATCACGTAATATATAATCAACTCAAAAAGATCTAAAACAAATCTCTTATATGGGATTTGAGTTAATTTCAACAATCTCTACATTGATTCAAATTCCATCTAATTATTGATTTTTATGTTAGACATGCTTTCAACCATAATGAATTTCTTGTAATTATCTTTTTTTGTGTGTCTACACTTTACGTTAAATGATCTCTCAAAATATGAATTCAAACTTCTTCCTTGAATGGAGTTCTTTTGGATTTGTCTCTTCTCATATCTTAAACCTAGCTCGGATATTAGTTATTAATCCAGTTTTGATACCAATTATTAAGCTAAAAAGACAAAATTCAATTAAACAATTAAGCCAATAGAAATATAATTAAACAATCAAATCAACCATACAAAAGAGTAATTTAACATTGATCAATTTAATCGACTTACATCCACAAATAAAAAAAAAATCTACTAATTCTAAAGAATTACAAATAAACAAATTATCAACATTTAATCTAAAACAAAACATACCCACGAACCATTTTATTTTTCTCTAGTCCAATTGAGTTTTTTTAATTCAAATAAACACATAGCTACATGAGCCCTCTCATTTTCCTCTAATCTACTAAAAAAATACATACCTATAAGAACCTTCTAAATTTCCTCTAATTTTATGAGATATTATATTAAAAAAAACCTTATAACTTTCTTATTTTTTTCCAATATCTAATTATTTATAAATATAGAAACTTATCTATCAAGAATTTTTTCCTTTTAAAATTTTTTTTTACAAATCTTTTTATTCATCAAGTAATATTTAGTCGATCTAAAAAAAATCACAAACAAATTTATTATGAAATTTAAGTCAATCCCAACAATCTAAAATACCTATTATACTTTTATCGTCTCAAAAAAAAATTATATATATGATTATCATTGACATCGTATGATGAATTTTTTAATTTTATAAATAAAACTATATAGAATTATATATTATATAACATATTCACTTTATATTTAACTTTTTAATTTCCTTAATTATAATTCAATAGACATGTCTCAATTTTATGATTTTGATTTATAAAATTTTCATCTACAGTTGATAAATTTTTTTTCTATGTTGATAGACTAAGGTCTCATATTTAGCATTACTGCTAAAAGTAGTTTCTGTGCTCCAGAACTGTTTTTGACCCAAACACAATGTCAAACAATAATAACATTTCAGTTTTTCAGTTAAAAAACTTGGTTTTGCAACTCAAACAAAAAAATTCCTTAAAATATATTCTTACGATAAAAAAATATATTTGGGATAAAGAATTATTTTATTATTCTTATATTTATAATATTTTATTATTTTACAAAAATTTTAAAATATTTCAATAAGTTACTAAAATTTTTAAATAACAATAAATATTGAAAAATTTTAATCACATTTTTCTTATCTTTAAACATAATTTTTTTAACTCAAAATTTTTGCCAACCACGTCACTAATACTAAAGTATCTCGTTTCAATATCATAATAATATATTCCTTTATGATACGTCGCTGGCAAATCAATTTGATATGCAAATTCTGATATAACAGTGCAATTTGTTTAAGAATCTGGAGAGTTAGTCAAACCAAAGGCAATTTTGAATCAACTTTAATTTGCAAAATCTGATAATAAAGAAATTTGGTTCAGAATCTCCGGGATTGATCAAACCAAAGTCTAAAGTAGTCTAACGTCACGTTTTTCGTTCGTTGGTTATTTTTGAAATTAGAATTAAAAAGCAATAATTGTTTTATAATTTGGTTCATGGAATAAAAAAGAAGTAGAACACTGTGAAAATTTTATATTAGTTAAAAGTGTGGAAAAGAATTGATCGAGTATAAAAACACCATTTTACCTTCCAATTAAAATTAATATTTAAAATTCTAGCTAATATATTTTTTAAAACTTTTTTATATTATTTAATTTAAATTAAAAAATATTTTTTTAAATATATATTTTAATTAAAAATTTAAAACATTTTTTTTTATTTTTTCAATTTTCTTATTTTCTTCATTCGTCCTTTCGTGCCATCGATGAGATATTTTTGTCGAAGTTTGCCGTTGAAGTTGCTTTCCGACGTCAGATTCAATTACTGGGCTTCAAAATCTACGCTGTCGGCCACTAAATTTGTTCGTGGCCTGCTACATCGATGATGCCAACAATTGTTCTAGAGGCTGGTTCCCGATGTCGATGGTATCGATTATCTATTCTAATTCCTGATCGTCAGATTGACAACGGTTGTCAACTATCGATCCTATAGAACAGTTAGCCTCTTTATCAAATATAAATATTTTAAATTAGTCTAGAATTTGATCATTAAATTAATAATAAGTATCTTTAAATAATAATAATAATAATAAATGTAAATATCTTTAAATATATAATATAAATATCTGTAAATATAAATTAGCCTGAAATTTAGGGCACTATATTCGTTAAAAATATTTTATTTTTTATTATTGGATTGAATAATGGCCTATTTTTAAATAATAATAATAATAATAATAATAATTATTATTATTATTATTATTATTATAAATATTTTAAAATTAGTCTAGAATCGATCATTGTACTATCTCAACTCCAAAGTTTTAGCCTCTTTATCATAAATTTAACGTATTTAGTTCCTAATTTTCTCAGAAGATGTGGAACTAATTAACAACGATAAAAACACCAATAGTTATATTCCATTAACTTTGATAATATGGCTCATTTGACGTTCATGTGGCTAGAAATATTCATGGATCAGCTGGATCAAATTAGAATTGATTGCTCTTTTGAAAATTTTGCTCAAGACACATTAAGCGTAATGAAAATATTTTTAAAATATAATTTATATTTAATATATTATTAGTGTATATATTTTATATATTATTAATTAATCAAATGATGATAATTTATTAATAAAGTAAATTAGATAATAACACTTTATTTATAAATAAATTATTTTAATTTATATACGTTTATTTTAAAAATTAATATTTTTTAATTAATAAATTATCATCATATGATTCATTATTAATATATAAAATTTATTATTGATAATATATCAAATATTAATTTTTTAAAATATATTATTTTAATAGTTTAACATTTATAAATATATTTTAAAATTAAAATTAAATTAATTTTAATTTTAATAATTAAATAATATCTTGGAACAAATCGTGGTTTGAAAAATCTCGTCCAAGACCCAACTTGAGGTGGGCCAAGCCTCGTGGATAGTTCCAGACATGGCATTCTGGCATGGAATTTTCGCCATTTAGCAAACAATAAAAAATAAAAAAAATTAATTTTTTAATTAAAAATACTAAAAATTATTTATTACGATTAATCATTATTCAATTAAAAAAACTTTAAACTAACTTCTATTGTATAATTTTAAAAAAATAGAAAATGTAAAGAAGAAAACATAAAAGTAACTAGTTTTTTTTTTTAAGAATAAAAATAATTGGTATTACATAAAAACTATCAGTTTACATAAACTAATGAAAAGCACTAAAAACCCATAGATTCAAAATTTACATTTAAAAAAAAAAGAAAAAAATTACAATTTTTATATTTTCCAAAAAAAAAAAAGTAAAACAAAAGGAATGAAAGAGTGAAATATACTAAAAAACAAAGAGAGGAAGAAGAGAGAAATGTGTGGGAAAAACAAGGAGGGAGAATGAGAGGAATAGAAGAGAGAGACATCAAGGAAGAGAACGCAACAAGGTGGATCTGTGTCATGCTAGGCAGGCCTACGACGATATGCACTATCCCTGGCAGATTAACTTAAATGTTGCCCTTCATTTTATCCTTTGGTTCCATATTTCTCTATTTTCATATGTTTTTTCTCTCTTATATTGTGTTTGGGAAAGAGTAAAAACAGAAATGATGAGGAAGAAATAATTACAAATTTTTCCAACGTTTCATCATTTAGTAAGAAAAAATAAGAATAGGGAAAGAAAATGAGTGGATTTGCACATTTTCCGCCTTTCTAAATTTATTCCTTCAAAATGTAGGAAAAATATTAATTCAATTTAAATTAATAATTTTTGACCAAAAAATAACTTAAATTATTAATTTTATTTACAATTTTACCCATAATATTTTTTCCTTCTATTTTTCATCCTCCGTACTTAACATAATGAAGGAAAAATAATTTTCCTTCCTCTCTCTTTTTTTTTATTTTTCTTTCATTACTTTTTCAATCATTCTCATTTTTCTTTATATTT